AATCTTGATAAATAGCTAAACTCTGTAAATATGATATAATTTGTTCGATCGTTCACTTAGTCGCGTCCTCGTTTACAGCTCGATATGTTTTCACTGCTGCGGCTCGACAATGCTCGTGAAGTCAAACTTACTTGGATCAATCGACTTCCGGTGAATAGATAAATGACAGTTCCTTTCAACAGCACAACACCTACTGGTAACTTCTAAAAATGCTTTTTTACAAATATCTCCCTTAATTWAAAAAAATTAACTTAACTTTTATATAAAATTAAAGATTTTACTTTTATATTCGATATAGCATGGTTTCAAAAAAAAAAAAATTTTTGACGAAAATTGTGTTCCGTGTATCCTTAACCTCGAATCCAGGTGTTGGTTGTTTTGTTATTCTAATTTCTGCTTTTGTTTACCGACCTCAGAAGTGAGGCTTAGCCCATACACACTGGAGTTTTAAGAGTCGTGACCTCTTTATAGTGCAAGTCGATCGTCAATTGGATATAGGTCGGAGTACTGTGACGAATTTTTTTTTGATTAATTTTTATTTAAATTGCCAAACAGAAGTCTATTGGACAATCCAACAAAGCAAAGTGATAAAACCTATTGTAAAATGTTTCATGGAACACATTAATATCACAATCGCAATGTCTATAAATAATACGTCCACCTCAGTATTAWTAAAACGTGGTTGGCCTCTATCTAAAGTTGAGATAACTAGCTAAAACCGAGTGTGAGCTGCGTCGGCGTTTCTAATGAAACAGTAATGATAAAAAGGTAAATTATACACCGTGAAAAGATGAAAAAACTTACTGACGTTTAGGACGCAAGTAAAAGCTGCTCTTGAAAACTGATGTGAGTCATCAAGTGGAAATACCTAAGACAAGAAGAACTGAAGGAGAGTGTAAATAAACCAGATACATAAGCAGGGATTTCTCTTGGATTTAATTATTTATCTTGTCGAAATTCTTCCAGCACGCGATTACATTTAAGCATTTATGCCACCCTTGCAGTGTTTTTTTTTACCCATATAATACTTCCCTTACCCTCACAGTCTAACAAATTGTTCGACCATTCCAACCCCCCCCCCCCACACGAAACATATAAAACTTTGACCTTTCACCTTCCGTATTTGAGGAGTGATTAGGCCACCCCCATATGCGAAATGCTTGAAAAAATAGCGAAAAGCACCCTATGATTTAACTTATTGTACCTAGTGACTTGCTTCATTCTGATGGTAGTGAAAACTGTTTCACTGACCATGGAACCACGCGGAAGATCACAGCATCTCCATCTTTCAGTACACGCACTTGCAGAAAAGTCTTCAACATTCCCTCATACCCGGAATATACAATGATCCATGACAGCACGGATAGACATCAGGGTCGTAAGTGGCAGGCCCACAAACTGTTTCGATGCATCTTTAACTGGGCTAATCCGTCGCAGCACAAATGGGATTGAGGATCGTAGGCCATAATCCCACAGCACTCCTTGCCAGAGATCTCCTCTTGGAGATTATGAATCCTTTGCAGCACATTGCGACGTTTGGGTCGTAGGGTAGATCACTACAGGACGCTTCTGACCTCAATGCACGAATCCATGGTCACTCCTTAAAAGAATAATTTTTGTTAAAAATCTCGCGTGCTGATTGGTTCGGTTGTGCGAAGAGGCCCGAGTGCGCAATACACATAGACGTCTGGGGTTCGTACTGACACCCACGAAAGGAAGTGTGAGAAGCACTCGCCTACAGCTCGTTTCTCCGTACTCTTCGGAGCATATAAATTATACATATATATAGCGATAAGCAGAAATTCTGATCCTTTTGTATATGCACAAAAGTATATCAAAAGTATATTAGAAATTTTGGGATACCATCTGGATTCTGGATACCATCTCTGATATTTTTTTCAGAAAGCCTTTTTTTACAATAACTTACAAATTTTTCGCGCGCTGATTGGTTATCATCAATAAGAGGACAGACAGATAAAGCTGACGTCAAAGAGCGCGTGCTCTTTCCGTTGGTTGTTTTGATCGCTAAAAATGAGAAGTTTTATCGCTTTTGTTATTGTAAAAAACAAATAGACACCAGTTTTTTATGTGTCTGTCCTACATATACTTTTGGTATACTTGTATATATTTACAAAAGGGTCAGAATTTCTGCAAATGGCTATGTGT